CTTTTATTGGGGAGGGATATGGAAAAGTCCATTGAATATTATTTATTGTAAAGAGACATAGAGGAAGCGATTGGTCAGACTGGAATCTGGCTGATTCTGTACCAACTATTCCATAACCCAGCATCCTGCTCCCCTGATTCCAGTGAGCTTATTTCACTCCACCGCACTTCCCAATAACAATTTAATCCACGTGGTTGTTGGCAGGGAGGTCTGGTCAGGAAGTCATCGTGGTGACTCAATTTACCTCACATGAAAGTGTTGCCTATGTGCCTATGAAATGTAATAGCACCTGTCAGAGTCAGCGACCCAGGTCTGCATCAGTGACACAGCATCCTTGCTTTTGACCTGTGACTTTCTCAGTGATTTGTAAATTGAAACATTGGCAGTATCTGTTTCTTAGTTAATAGTGTGGCCAAGTCTATTAATAATCGGTGTAACCTTGAAATACAAACTTACTCATAAACAAGTACAGTATGGTTTCTTCTCTGCCATTACTTCCTGTCATGGAATCCTAATTTAAGGAGGGGAGATGTGAATTTAAAAATAATATTGAATGGAAGTATGGTCCAAGAAATAAGTGCCAATTGGTAGTCAGTATAGAGCTCATGCAATGCCCCAGCCCTTACCAGAGAGAGCATGCCTGCTATGCTGGAGCCAAACACAAGGTCCTTTGGAGCACAGGGAAGCTTAGGCATATAGTCCTCCAGAGCCAGCCCTCCTCCTGTTCCTCTTCCCATCACCAACTAGTAGGATGTATACCAATTGGACCAAATTGTTTGGATCATCAAGTGTATTTTTATTTTTTTAATTAATAAATCTTTATTGTTCAGATTATTACAGATGTTCCTCTTTTTTCTCCCATAGCTCCCCTCCACCTGGTTCCCACCCCACCCCATGCCCTTACCCCCTGCCACTGTCCTCATCCATAGGTCTAAGATTTTTGTTCAATTTCTTAGCCTATAATGGGTTCTTCTTCTTTCCTAGATTGTTCCTTAGCAAGTACCTCTTTTTTTCCCATAGCTCCCCTCCACCTGGTTCCCACCCCACCCCATGCCCTTACCCCCTGCCACTGTCCTCATCCATAGGTCTAAGATTTTTGTTCAATTTCTTAGCCTATAATGGGTTCTTCTTCTTTCCTAGATTGTTCCTTAGCAAGTAGTAGGGACGTACAGAAAATCCCCCTCCGCTCTGTTTGGACAAAGTCTCTTGATTTCAGATATTAACTCAAAAAGTGTGTGTTACCCAGCCGGCGTGGTTCAGTGGTTGAGCAACAACCCATGAACCAAGAAGTCACCAGTTCCATTCTAAGACAGGATATATTCCTGGGTTGCGGGTTCGATCCCCAACCTACTGTTGACCAGAAACCTTACCAATAACATAAACAATTGATGAACACACATGCCCAGTGTGGTTCAGTGGTTGAGTGTCGACCTATGAACCAAGAGGTCACAGTTTAATCCCCAGTCAGGGCACATGCCCCGGTTACAGGCTCAATCCCCAGGATGGGGCATGTAGAAGGCAGCCAATCGATGATTCTCTCTCATTATTGAAGTTTCTATCTCTCTTTCCTCTCCCCTCCTCTCTGAAATTGATAAAAATATAAAAAAAAGAAAATACACTTATTTATTGAAAAAAATCCACATGAAAGTGCACTGGCACCATTCATCCCATGTTGTTCAAGAAGCAACTGTGTAATGTTTCTGATAAAATTATAAAATATCACAATATAGAATCCTTCCATTTACATTTGAATTTCTGAGAATGATCACAAGGAGACTCAAAGAGGTAGAGTTTGATCAATTTTCCCAGGAGCTTCTCTTTATCCCTTGCTATTGAAATCATTCTCTTTGGAAGCATCTTTCCTATTATCTGTTGTGACTTTTTTCTTTCCACATACGTTACCTCTGACAGATCCTAATGGGCCAGTGACTTCCTGTGTGATAGGAGCTAATCTCCAACTGCACGTTCATGGACTTCACAAAATCTTGGCTCTTTATCTAGGATTTTCAATTGACTTTATACTCTATTTTCCTTGAACCTGCCTTGTGTTGTCCAATATTTACAACATTAGACAAACAGAGAGATATTGACCAAAGATATAGGTCTAATAGCAAGAGTACTAGTTGACTAGGGATGTTTGAGGAGGAACTAATTTTATAATTATGGATGGTGGGTGGCTTCTGATGACTTTTAATTCTTTACACATCTGGAACGATTTGGAGAGTAAATATCTGAATATGGAGGATGCTCCTATACTCCATGTGTATTTACTGATTGGATGGAAGTGAACCTCTCTTTGACTCAGTGTCTAGATCTGCAAAATGAGGAGCATGGCATTCAAATCAGCAAGGAGATGGAGTTGTCTAATATGACCCAATGTAAACCGGATTAAAACTCATTGGAGTACTAGTGTAATCTAAAAAAACAACAAGAAACATTGCTGTCTAAAAAACTTCCTACAGTGATGGGAATGTCCAAAAGTAGACTTATTCGCTACAGCTGGTATGAAACACTTGAAATGGGACCAGTGCAACTGAGGAACTGGGTTTTGCATTTTAATTCATTAACTTGCAATTAGATTTAAATCTGCATGTAGCCCGTGGCTGCCATATTGGACAGCACAGCTCTGTGAGGTCTCTTCCATAATGTTGTCTCCAAAAAAAATGGACAAAGTTGGTCAAGCTCCCCACCAGGGCCAGAGATTATTGAAGTTTCTATCTCTCTTTCCTCTCCCCTCCTCTCTGAAATTGATAAAAATATAAAAAAAAGAAAATACACTTATTTATTGAAAAAAATCCACATGAAAGTGCACTGGCACCATTCATCCCATGTTGTTCAAGAAGCAACTGTGTAATGTTTCTGATAAAATTATAAAATATCACAATATAGAATCCTTCCATTTACATTTGAATTTCTGAGAATGATCACAAGGAGACTCAAAGAGGTAGAGTTTGATCAATTTTCCCAGGAGCTTCTCTTTATCCCTTGCTATTGAAATCATTCTCTTTGGAAGCATCTTTCCTATTATCTGTTGTGACTTTTTTCTTTCCACATACGTTACCTCTGACAGATCCTAATGGGCCAGTGACTTCCTGTGTGATAGGAGCTAATCTCCAACTGCACGTTCATGGACTTCACAAAATCTTGGCTCTTTATCTAGGATTTTCAATTGACTTTATACTCTATTTTCCTTGAACCTGCCTTGTGTTGTCCAATATTTACAACATTAGACAAACAGAGAGATATTGACCAAAGATATAGGTCTAATAGCAAGAGTACTAGTTGACTAGGGATGTTTGAGGAGGAACTAATTTTATAATTATGGATGGTGGGTGGCTTCTGATGACTTTTAATTCTTTACACATCTGGAACGATTTGGAGAGTAAATATCTGAATATGGAGGATGCTCCTATACTCCATGTGTATTTACTGATTGGATGGAAGTGAACCTCTCTTTGACTCAGTGTCTAGATCTGCAAAATGAGGAGCATGGCATTCAAATCAGCAAGGAGATGGAGTTGTCTAATATGACCCAATGTAAACCGGATTAAAACTCATTGGAGTACTAGTGTAATCTAAAAAAACAACAAGAAACATTGCTGTCTAAAAAACTTCCTACAGTGATGGGAATGTCCAAAAGTAGACTTATTCGCTACAGCTGGTATGAAACACTTGAAATGGGACCAGTGCAACTGAGGAACTGGGTTTTGCATTTTAATTCATTAACTTGCAATTAGATTTAAATCTGCATGTAGCCCGTGGCTGCCATATTGGACAGCACAGCTCTGTGAGGTCTCTTCCATAATGTTGTCTCCAAAAAAAATGGACAAAGTTGGTCAAGCTCCCCACCAGGGCCAGAGTAATATCCATGCAGTTAAGACCTTCTTCAAGTAGCAGGAGTGTGACCAGGTTACCCAAACCATTCATCTGGCCTCTCTGAGTAACGGGGAGAACCCCCATTGCTCACCAGAGCCATCCACTCTTTCATAGAAGGTGCTCACAAGCTTCTCATGTTCTGCTAGTTCCCCACCACTGCCTAGTCATCAGGGACGAGTTTCTCTGAGCAGCTCAGTGCTGCACCTTTTGTGCCTGATGAAAACCAACTCCGTGGATAGATAAATGTCCCTGAAAACACCAGCCCTGCGGTGGCCTGCAGCGAGGGGGAACTCAGCTCAGGGTAAAGATATGTTACAAATTAAATGCTGCAGTTGGTATGTAAAGCTGCAATAAATAGAAACTGAGTTACATCAAGGACGGAATTAAACCTTAAGTTTAAACTCCACAGCACTGTAATTAAAACTTAGCCTGTAGCAAATCATTCACTTGAGATTAAAGTAGTGTGGGGGAAGCAGAGGTTTGGGCTTACCTTGCTTTCCACAATTTATAAGTCTGAGCTACCAAAAGCTAACAGCCCTGCCCCCAAATCCAGCTCCCAATTAAAAACACAGTTTGAAAACCTTTAGGAGGCCTGAGGGGCCCCTTTAACAGAAGTCTGCCCCTTCCCCCACCCCGGCCCAAGTCTATGAACAAATTAAAAAATATTACCTGGTCCCCTGATGGTCTTCTGAGCTGACACGGTGTTTTCATTAATACATCATTAGAGTAATGACATTGTGCTGGTGTTTTGCTTTCAAACCAGCCTGCACTTCAACCACTATGAGTACAGGCTGGGGGCCTCTGCACACTTTGTTCCTGGGAAGTATTATCCACATAAAGAAAAAAAAAGGAAGACAAGCTGTAATTCATAAATTTTTAATGCGTCTTCCTTTTCTCCTAATCCGGGATGTTCGGGCTCGCTTGGTGTTTAATTTTTGTCTGTTGGTTCTGCAAAGTAAACACTGGGGTTAGATTAACCATAGCCTTAACTCCTAGAGCCAGCAGGCCTTTCCAACTCTCCCACCACAACCCAAAACAGGTTTCTCTCCTGTTGGAAGTGCGTCCTTTTGTGCGAATGCAGTTCGAGGATACAGAGTTGAAACTGTGGTATTTTTATTTTCTAGACTGTGAACTGTTACCTCATAGACAACAATGGATTTATTCTGGTGTCTGAAGACTACACACAGGTGAGCGAGAAATTCCTACCAGTTGAGAGTAAGGAGCTCGGATGTGCTTGAGTCAGGGAATGCAAATTACGGTGTTAAAACTTTGAGACAATGATCTATAGTTAAGAGGTAATAGCAGGAGATTATAAACCCTTATTTCCATCCCTCTAAGAATGTCACAGCCCACTTCTCTGCTGGCCC